GAAAATGGTATCGAGTATCGAGTATTTTCCTGAGTATCGGTATCGAGTTGAACATTTTAGCATCGTGACAACGTTACTAGCTTCCCAGGAAAGGGGCTAACTGCGCTCCCTGGGTGTGAACAGGGCCTGATGTTCGGCTACGCCACGGATGAAACGGAGGAGTGCATGCCCCTCACCGTGGTCCTCGCACACAAACTCAACGCCAAGATGGCCGACCTGAGGCGCAGCGGGGCCGTGCCCTGGCTCCGCCCAGACTCAAAGACTCAGGTGGGACCAAAAGATCATAAGTTAAAGCTGTGCAACTGGCAGTGGTGGGAAGTAACTTCGTTACTGTACTTAAGTACAATTTCCGTGTATCTGTACTTTACTTAAGTAGATTTAATAATGGATACTTTCTACTTTTACTCCACTACATTTAACAGTAAGTATCTGTACTTTCTACTTCACTACATTTCTATACAGTGTTTCGTTTCTCGTTACATCCAAGACGCATTTCGGTTTTTTTTATTTGTTCGTTAGTTTGAAAGTATCCAATGGCGAGAACAGAATCAGTCCGCTGAACCAATCCAAAGCGGGAAATAACCATTAGGCCCTCCCTCAAGAAGAGCAGCACAGTACCAGGACCTGCATAAAATATCTAAATCTAAACTGTCACAGGGGGTAAACACAATAAAAACATGCTTTATCTGCAGCATTGCTCATTAAAATGGTACATTAATGATTTATTAAAACTAAATACGATAGGTACACTTAATGGCAAGTACTTTTACTTTTAATACTTAAGTAGTTTTAAAAGCTTGTACTTTCTTACTTTTACTTAAGTAAAATAATAATGTGGTACTTTGACTTTTACTTGAGTAAATTTTTGTCTGTGTATTTGTACTTTTACTTAAGTACATTGTATGAGTACTTTCTCCACCACTGGCAACTGGAGCTCCTAGGGTCAATTTAAAGTAACCTAGGAGCCCAATTTTTGTGGTTTTCAGGCTTCGTGCAATCCAATTAAAGCCAATTACAACCC